AACCCATAAATTGCAGTGTTCCAAATATATGGCAAAACAGGAGTTTCCAAAACACTTAAATTAATAGTTTCTAAAAGGATTGGAAAACCCGAAATCTGTTGTATTTTTTTGCATTAGAGGGGTAAATTTTTTCTCCAAAATCAAAAGCTATTCCAATCAAAAAACATCTTTAAAATCGAGTTACATACTAAACATAGGGAGCCCTTCTTTATATCACATTAACAACATCTCTCATCCATTAAACTTTTAAGTCCATGTACAGTTTTCTGCCTTGTATTCCCGTTTTTTGAGTTATTTTGCAAAAAAATGCCATTGGAACACAGTGTATTTACCTAAAAGTAGGAAATTAATGTGCACCTGTTCTCTTGAAGTTGAACTCTCACTGTGTGTTTATTTTATTTATCGACACTTTAAGACTTTAAAGTTGTTGAAAATGTTAGCAGAAAGTTAGCCGAGGAGACATTTGGTGCCCTCAGGGCTTCAGGTTTTCATGTTTGGAGAAAGAAGTTAAAAGGTTCCCATGGTGCCATTTCCTGTCTGATGACGGCACTGAGGGCTTAATTACGTTGAAGACTTTTGATGAGTTTGAATCTTAGATTATCTTCTACTTTGTAATGGTCAGCCCAGCAGATCCATCAGGCACGTTGTTGCTAGTTGTGAGTTTCAAAAGGATGTGGGACGTCTAGTTCTTCATACTCACACAGATAAACGTTCAAAAGAAGGCATTTACTTGAGCGAATGTTTTTATTTTGTGTGTGAACAAGCTATGGGTTCTCTCTTTCTCTTTCTTTCTGGCTACTTCCTCCTCCTTTTTTACAATCTGAGTCACACACACACACACACACACATAGACGCTCTTTTATCCTGTCATAGAGACAGCAGTGGGAGCTGTCAGATCTCACACAGTGGGGTTACACAGCAGCAGGGGTTCACATCACATCACATCCCACACATACACGCGCACACACACACACACACACACACACAGAGAAACTCACACAGACTCTCATTTTGGACCATTGCTAACGGCTAGGCATGATTTCTTCCCTTTTGTGTTGTGCTTGCCAAAGACAATCACATCTTGAATACCCCAAACTGATCCATTCTGAACATCAACTACTTGGCAGTATTCTTCCTTTTCATAAACCTGACAGCTGAGCCGATGCAGCACATTACAAGTCAAACAACCTGCCAATAAGAAAACATTTATAAGAGTGTCTCCATGGTTTACAATCAATTCAATCTTTATTGTTCGCAAAGGGGGATTTGGTCACAGGCTGTTGTTTATCTATAAAATACATTGTTGAAAAATATTGTCCCTCTCGTCTCTACATTTGATACATTATAATAAATTGCCGCCTGTGTCAGCTGTAATGTAGAAAATGGATGATAAAAGTTGCCAAAGGAAATATAATTTTTATTGTCACATGGAATATATAAAAAAATATTTATTTTTGTTTCAGATAGGACCATTTCCTGTAGTGAAGCATTGAGAGCATTGTTTTTTCTTTCTTTTTGTCTGTCAGACCTTGTTTTTTCACAGTAGACCTTTTTCACAGGAGCCATTTTGATATGAAATAGTCAAAAGGAAAAATAAACACAGGTGTTAGGGATGATGCTAATTAAGGTTCAGTTCCATTTAGTGCAGCAGAGTGAGCCAACATGCACAATAGCAGCACCCTGGCTCCGTTTGACCAGAATAGAACATAACTTTAATTAGTATCCTCTGTAACACCTGTGTTTACCCTACTACTGAATGTAAAAATGGCTCCTGTGAAAAAAGGGTATATTTTAACACCTTTGGCGCCTGTGGTTTTAGATCACCTGTAACAAATAGCTTTAATTTGTAGCTTTGAACGTCCCTATTAAACTGTGGGATTTTTTTTGTGGCAGACCTTTTGTAACAGCAGGAAAAGCACAGGTGTAGTCAGTGACACAAATTCAAGCTGTATTCCACTTAAGCTCTTGACACACTACATGAGTTTCAAAGTCGTCTGATCTCTGTAATGTTCACACTGCACAACTTTCAGTCTTGTAATAGGGAGCCTTCAAGTTGTTGGGGGTCACACACTACAAGATCTTTCGTAAGGAGTCTGTCTGGTCCCCAACTACTTCAGGAGTCATTAATAACAAGCACATCATGTTTAATTAGGAAAGTAGTTTAAAAACACACACGAAGAGCGACCGTTTACAGCATAGGTGTGTTAGTTCCAGTGCTGTGTGTTGTTCATGCTGGGTCACTGGCACAGGTCAGTGGAGAGGAGTCACTGTTACTGTTATCGGATCCAGCTGTGCTTTTTCTTATCTGCTGTGGAAAAACAACTATTTTCTCAACATTTTTCAGACACAATAGCAGTGACAGTCCAAGTCACCAGCAAAAAGACTAACAAATGAGACCAATAAACAACACAAACATACCAATAACCAACAACACAATCAAAACAGCAGTTAGTATATATAATATAAGTATATCATATACTTAGAGGGTTAATTCTGTTCCCAACACATTTGAGAAAAGTTTACATTTCATTATTTAATGCTGCCAAACAAGCCTGCACTCAACACCACTGGGATTTGTGACTAAAGGTCCAAATTAGGCCAAATGGGCCTCCTGCAGAAGGCACATTGTTACAGTAAAGCACAGGTGTAAATAATCAAATAAATGATGACTAAAATCCATTAAGCTGCTTAATTTTCAGGGTTCTGTGCACACTGGCTTACTGTTATTAGCAACACCTGTGCTTTTCCTACTGTGACAAGCCAAAAATCCTGCTGTGATGTGAGGGCTGTTGTTCAAGACAAATTAAACAGCAGCACTCCAAATTTGCCATTTCCTAATGTAAAAGGTGTCAGGATGTCGATTTGACTGTAATAAAAGTACAAATTAATGTTTTTCTGGTAGTCAGGTAGATCAGGTAAACTCCAGCTGGCTGCTGCACTCACAGGTTAATAAATCAAGCGCACCCTTTGTTGAAAGGGCGGTTTGTTTAAGTTCCACTGCTGCCACCTGCTGCTTTGTAAATTGCAGGTCCAAACAACTTCAACACAGCTGCCATTTGTTAGGTTTTTCAAATGAAATTTCTGCCAAAAAAGTCAGTGCAGGCAGCTTTTTGTTTCCTAAGAGGAAGACTTTAAGTTCACCTCACTCCATTAGCTTTACCTGGTCATTTTGGCTTTGTCTGTGTGCAACATCAAGGCTGATTATTAGCTGTCATACCTATTGCCAGCTTGGAACCGCAACTCTTACCAAAGGACAACTGTTTTCTAAGGACTTTAGGACGTCTTGATCACTGCTGCATTTCACCAGTTTATGGTAAGAATTTGCTGTTTGTGCTACCAGCCTCACTCATGTGTTGAATCTGCCCTGTTGTGTGCTCTGCAATTTCAACCCTGTTGCTGCTGACTGTTTTAAAGTGCTATTTTACATTCATCTGATGTTTTTTGGCAACATATTGGCTCATGCTGGCTGCTAATTTCTGTTCTCATGCTGCTGCCATCTATTATGCGCAATGTTTGGTGTTAGTTGTGAATTAATTTCTTGTAATGGCTGGGCTTTTCTTTCATTTTGTTTTGCACATGGATTATGATGTTTTAATGCTGTTCATTTGCATACTGGTGAAATACAGCGTGTTTCAATATTTGACTGTTATGAGATGAATTGGTTGT